TCTACATATCATAGGTGATAAATATTCAGGATGCAGTAATTTTTAACAACTTTATTAGTGCTGACGTTTCAACGCAAGAATGGATGTCATCACCAGGGTCTTACTGTGTTTCGAGCACGGAGTACTTGAATACCTTCAGTGCTGGAAACACGGTCAGTAAGACCCGGATGATGAGCCAAATGTTTGGGTTGAAACATAGGCACTAATAAAAACGTTAAAGATGACTGCATCCTGAATATTTATCATCCATATAATCATAATCATGTGACCATAATTGTTGTAATCTTAATCGTTAGTTATGATTATGCCCATCTATGCAGTATAGTCCAAGAAGTTAAGCTTCATATTATCATTGTCATATTATCCTTGATTTTCCGCCAATACTTTTTCTAAAAAGAAATTTCTTTATTATTTTCAACTATATAGATTAAATTTAATGCTGGAATAAAATTGAAAGAATTGCAAGTGATTAGATATACCTATGTCTGATTTAAAAAAAAAAAATGTTTGTGAACAGCTCAGAAATGCTTTAACACTTAACATTAATTAATTAATTTTTATAATTCAGGATATCTAAAGCCAGAAAATAAAAAAAAAATCAGTTTTAGTTAAAAAAAAACAACTAAATCACGAGCATCAGACACAATTTTCTCGAAATAGCCATTTTTGGTAAAGTAATCTTTGTAAATGACCTCCAAATTAATTCATACAACACATTGATGAAAAAATTGCAATATAACATTCATATTAACAAGACTATTTAATTATATATATATATATATATATATATATATATATATATATATATATATATATATATATATGTGTGTGTGTGTGTGTATATATGAAGGATCAAGTGGATTAACGCGATAACTGAAATTTTTAGAAAAATTAAATTATCGTTATGGATAAAGATATGTTTTTAGAAATATGTTATAAATGTTTTCTTTTTTCAGCCATATAAAAACAATAGTTAAATCAGAGCTGAATTAATAAAGGCGTTAGGTGACTATGTATGACTATGCTCTGAAGTGGATAAAGATGATAATGGCACTTAAAAATTTAATCATTAGACAACTCGACTTTATCAGTGAATAATTCAGACGTCTAAGATTTCAATGTAAATATTTGGATGAGCACTATCGATATTTATTTAAAGGAAAAATTATATACACATAAAAGAAAGCCAGAATCAGCTTTAAAAACATTATAAACAAAGATTTTATTTTTAGAAAAAACAAATTTAATGGTATTTTTATGCAAAATAATACCGGACATATGAAACTATTTCAATACAATGTGGAGATATAATATGTAATTTAATTGAAAATACTTCTTAGTGGATAAACATTTAAATTCCAAGATTTCAAAACTTACATAAAAAATTAATCTTAGTAAATAAGAGGAAAAAAAACCACATGAGAAATCAAAGATAAATTTGGAATTATAAAAACATTTAAATATTATTTCCAATGAAAAATAAAATACATTATTAATTCCGAACACAAAAAAAAAAAAAAAAAAAGAAAAAAATCAGATTTCTTACAATGCATATAGTTAGGAAGTACATTGAAATAAATACATTTTTTAAATTATCAAAATTAGACTTTTCTTCTACCATTCAAAGAAATATCAGAAATTAGAAAACAGCATTTTTTTTTTTTTTTTTTAAAGCGTAGAAAAAATAGAAATATATTTCTTGGATGTAAGTTTAGAAGCTGGAAACACAATGCTAAGCTCAAAACTATAAGATATTCAATGGTATGAGATAGGTGCTAGCATGAAATGACATAGTGAAGTCTCCATGAAAAAATTTAGAGATTTTTATAGTTTCATTAAAAGTAACCAAATCAATTTTCTCTCAGAATTAAATAAATGTGTTATAATCTATATTCATCCACTTGAACCATTCATATATATTATTTATTTATGAGATGAATTAATTGTAATATTACTCCTAAATTATATTTTTTGCTTTTGCCATGTTTTCATAATTTTTTTGTTTTTATCATGTAGTTGTATGGCACTTGCGTAATTATCGATTCTTAAGGAAAAATAATTTAACTAATTTTGATCAAACATTTTTTCCTCTGCCTAAAATTGAATTCAGAATCTACTGAAATTATGGAGATCAATGTTGGAGATCGACTTAATGGCAATAATAGTTGAGATTAAATACCTTCCACATTAAACATAGTTAACAGATGTTCTTGTATCAAATAAATTAAATTTCCGAAGAATATAAAACTGTTTACAAATCCAAATACATTATTAATTATGGAATAAATTTTAAAATATATATGTATATATGAATAAAAATAATTTGAGGCGATAGGAATGAAATGACATAAAACAACAAATTATAAAAATGAAAGACTAGTTTTATAAATAACAAACAGTATTAAATTTTGAAGACATTTTTAATATTGACAAAAAATGTTTTTTACCTTTTTTTTTTTCTTTAATAGTTCAAATTTAAATTTCTAATCGGATTTCTTGGTCATATTAATTGAATATGCCAGGCATGCCTTTTATTCTTATCAAGCACAAAACTCAATTTCATACAATAATAAAAAAGCATTAAGGTGTTTTTAGTGAAAGTTGAATTTTCATTTCAAAATCCTAATAGAGAACTTTCTGATATGAGAAGAGATCAGTTCATATAAGAAATATATAGAAAAAAAAAATTATATACTACATTATCGGTAACCCAAACTAATTGTTTAGAGAAGGTATTCAGGATAAATACATACAATAAAATATTAAAATTCGATAAATACAAGTCACTGTGTTATACATATGAGTTGCTTATTTCTAAAGTGAGCGCTGATAGATTGTTTAGAAATTGAGATAAGCCTCAATTCCAATATAAAAACACCCAACGACTCCGACCGTGCAATTATTATTTTCTTTAAAACATAAATATTTAGAAAAACTGGTATGAAAATAACTTTATTCCATAACCGGTTTTTTTTTTCTTCTTCAAAGAATGTAATGATTTATTACATTACATAATTATGTAAATGATTTATTTACTAGCATTTAATAAGCCAAAAAAAAAAGATATATATCAAACATTTTTTTATTTCTAACCCTTTTATTTGAATGTTAATTAAAAATTAATTTATTTCATTGTACCATTATTGTTAACAAAAAGTTGAATTTTTATAGTTAAAATTATAACAATTCTCTGCCTCCCCCCATTCTATATTTTTTAATTACTATTAAAATAACAAATGATTTTCAAAAATATGTACTATAAAATAAAGAATTTCTTAATTTACCTATGAAAAATATAGTTTTTTATATTACATTAATAGGCATATAATTGGAAAGAAGTATCTGACGATAAAACGAGATGGAGAAAGCTGATTAAGGGAGAAAAAGATCATCAAGGTCTGAAATAAGAAAAATAATTTTATTCGGAATAGAAAATATAGTTTTTATATTTTCTGAAATTTTTTCAATGGCGATTAGAGCTCACATTGGAAATAAATGACTTATATGTATGTATATCACTTGAAAACAACAACTTTTAAACACAGATACACTTTTTTTCTTTTCTTTTGGAGGAACTTTTTTGATTCCTGTATCAAGGTGGGTTTTCTAGGTCATTTTCTGATCAAAGCCTCTAAGAAATTAACTTTGATCAGCAAAACAAAACCGTGTAAACTAGTTTTGATAAAGCGGGAAATCATATCATTGATACAAATGCTAACTATCGAATATAAAAAAATTTCAGTCCTGTACTCTAGCGATTGTAATTAAATATTTTTAAACAGTGAATACAAAATCTTCAAACATTGATAAAAGCACATATTTGTATGGTGATTTTCAGAATCGATAGTTAGCATTTATATCAATGATAATGTTTCAATGAATTATTGAAGAAAGTTAGTTGACGTTCTACATATTATGGATGATAAATAGTTAGGACGCAGTCATTTCTAATGTTTTTTTATTAGTGCCGACGTTTCAACCCAAGCATGTGGGTCATCATCAGGACATGTTTCGAGCACTGAAGGTTTTCAAGCACTGGCGATGAGTACTTGAATACCTTCTGTGCTGGTAACATCAGATGATGACCCAAATACCCATATGCTTGAATTGAAATGTAGGCACTAATAAAAACCTTATAAATCACTGCGTCCTGACTATTTAGCACCCATGATATTGTTTCAATATATTAGACATTTTTTAAAACTATAATAGCGCTTCTCATATTCAAGAAAGATACTCTTTAGTTAACAATTGTCACTATTAAAACTTTCCATAACTATAAAATTAATATTATTATCTTGATAATAAGTTTCACATGCCTGACATAAATAAATAATAGGAGCTAAATATTGAGATAAAACAATTTTTTAAAGATCGAAATGTTTTCACGTTAAAAAATTTTAGTTGAAGAGTGAAAGCTTGAGGAATAAAACCGAATTCGATACTTAGAGTAAATTTAATTTAAAATTTTATATTTTTTAAGACTACTTTCCAAAAACTTGGTCCAATTTTATTGTATTTATTTTAAATTATTTGAGTTAAAAAATACATTGATTAGGGCTTTTCCCCATTATATATTAGCATATTGTGGTTGCGCTTTTTGTGCCAGTGCACTATGGCTGCAGTGGGATTTAATAAAATTTGCTCTTATTATTTCGATCTAATCGACAACCTATCTTATCTATTGTTTTGAGTATGTTTCTACTTTGTAAAACTACAACTCTATTAAAAAAATTATAAATACGTAACACAAGCTTTGTTCACGTTGTTTATCGACCACAATGTGTTAACATTAAATAAGAAATAATTGTATATATTGAAGATTTCATTGCTTACTTCAATTCTCAATACATTTTTTTTTTTTAAATTTTACAATTTATTATTTGATTTTTAATTTCATATAAGCCTGGACTCTTATTAGAAACAAGGAGTAAAATAAAAAAGCAAAAGATAAAGAAACATCACAGAAAATTAACAGTCTTCATTACTAACTTTTTCTTTTAAAACCTAATCTGAGATAGTTTTTTTGAAAAGAAATAGTGTATTTGGATGTGTTTAATTTTTAAACTTGATCTTAGGGTGCAAACAAAATATTCTTTACACAATCTCGACTATAGAAATTCATATTTACATAATTAAGTATAACTTATCAACACGCTAATTATTAATAAATGTTTATATCCTACATAATAGAATAATACGCTCTGGCATTCCTCTTTCTAATTACTGAGTAATCCACAGCCAAAACTTATTTCGCCTACAACCTATTTTATGTTATGATGTTAAAAGAATGTGGTAACACATATGTATGATTACGTAATACTGGTAAGTATTCAAAAGTTTCTGCCTTAACGCGATTACCGTTAATTAATTTCTTATAAGCCAGCTAAACCTTCAGCTAATCAAACGGGCTAATAGGCCCGAATAAGTTGAGATCTAGAATAACAGAATAAAATAAAAATAGACATTTTATTTTAATTACCTTAAAATTAATATATATAATATCTATAAATAATACGTCTGTTACACACATAGCGTCTACAGTTACAATGTATATGAACAAAATATATATATATCTTCGTAAATAGAAGTGTTTTCTCTTTTATATGAGGAATTTTCTTTCTTTTTTTTTTTTTGGATTAGTTTGGAATGAGCTTACTAGTTCCTGAGTTACAGATAATAATGCCAAATATCTTTTGCAAGAATATTGAATTGACTCAAGACGAAAAGGCATTGAAGAGGGCAACGGTTTTAAGACGGGAAGGGTTGCTGGGCAGGACCTGTGTTTAGAGAAAAGTGCTTTGGTCACGTCGTTGTCAAATGTCGCTGCCGTTTCTACTGCTCTTCGCCATGTTTTTCTCCCTAGTGAAAAAAAAAAAAATATTTAAGAAACAAAATAAAAAGTTAAAGACAATACTAATTTGCCTGTTCTTAAATTTAGCTGTAATATTATATTTGGCGTCTGAACACCGATCAAATAAAAGATGACAAACAAATTCAGAAATAGTGGGTAAAATGGTTGACTGTCGTGAATAATGAAGAGAAGTATAGTTCAAATAAGAAGGCAAAAATAAATGATAATATTTATTTTGACATTTGCCAACGTTTCGACCTGAAGTTCAGGCCTTCATCAGGGCTAAGAAAAGAATAGTAAGAACTAAGAGATAAATAATAATAACTGTTACAAAGTGTGAAATGATGAAGTAAACATGATCAAAAAAGGTGACATAAGAATTAAAATGAGAACCTTAGAATAAAATGTAAAACAGAAAAAAGGAATATGAAGTTATATAAGATATGAAAATAAATAGTAAAATTAAGACATTGTGAATAGAGTAGTTAGATAGAAAATTGAGATATTGTAAAGTCTATCAAGATGTACAGACAATGTGTAATATAATAAAGAGTTAAAACAGAAATGGAATGAAAGGAAGGAGGGAAGAAATTGAGAAAGCTGAAATAAGAAAGAGATAAAATTCAAATTCAGAAATAAGTGAGTGCAATGTATTTTGATGGAAGGAATTAATTTTCATCAAAAACAATAGCTCATAACACATATAAATTAAAATAGACCGTATCTTTGCTAAAATCGGTCCAATTTCAATAATTAAATTTTATTTTGTAGGAAATTTGGAAACTTTTCTTTTTATAATGTATACAATCGACCATAAATTGTAAACCTTTTAACTTATGCGGTTATTTTTTGCACAAAACAATTAAAAAACTTCCATAATTTGTTTTTTTTCTCTTAACAATCCAGATGATAGCTAATCTTTCAGGGTAAGTATCCACATCTATCGATCCATTGTTTTCTAAAATTAGTCTACAAATTCGCTTCAACTGTAATTTATAATACCACAATTATAATTCTTTATATAAGAAATAAGATATCGTTGGCTTGAAAGAAGAGTGCCACTATAAAGTGGAATTTTACAGAAGTGTATAAAGTTTACATATTCAGGTTTATAACTGTTCTTAACATATTTAAAAACATGCTCTTAATACTTTTCTTGAAAGAACAAATATTTCACTTTCATTTAACTGTACCATTTATTATAATAAATCTGAATACATAAAACCAATTAGATATAAAGTAAAGAGATATTACCATCGCTAAAGCGGAGTTTCCTTCCTCCATTGAAAGCTGTTAGAAGGCGTAGCAGAGTTGTTGTGACCCCATCGACCGGCAGCGAACTCTAGTCCGTTCCTTATTGCGGGAACTATCCTCAGCGCTGGATTTGTAACTATCCCATTCCTCTTAGTTTTAGTGGATCTAGTTAGTAATGCAAAGAACAAAAATAGAATGAATAATTAATTAGTTAATTATTAATAATTATTTGAAAAAAATATGGAAATAAAAAAAAAAACTACCGTTCTCTAGTAGGTGATGTTTTACTATTTCCCAGAATTATTCTCATATGAGTGTCTCTTGAAAAATGGTCATCTGGAGAAGAAAAATATTTTTAAAATTTATCAGCAAAAAATAAATGAAATAACAATAACAATTATGAAGAGAAGAATAGTTGGGGTGCTCAGTCAAAAAGGAAGGCAAAAAATAAATTATAATATTTATTTTTTACATATGCCGACGTTTCGACCTGAAGTTCAGGCCTTCATCAGGGCTAAGAAAATAACCAGATAACAAGGTATGAGAAACATAAGTAATGATGGTAAAAAAGATAATAAAAAATGAAAAAAATTAAATTAAACAAAAAAAATTATTAGAGAAATAAAATAAATGATAGAATAAAATGTAAAAACATAAAAAAGAAATATAAAGTTATATAAGAAATGAAAATAAAATAAATAGTAAAATCAAAACATTGAGCAAACTTTGATCAAAACAGTGAACATTTAAAAATAACAATTATATTTGAAGTGGAGTAGCTCAGTGAGTAAGGTAGATAATTATATATTATTTGAGATCTTACAGAATACGTAAACAACTTTGGTGCTGGAAACATGCCCTGTTTATGACCCATATACATAAAAGCTTGCGTTGAAATGTTGGTAATAAAACAACTAAAAATTTACTATCACCATATATCAGACTATTTATTATGTTCACTTTTTTTTCAATTTAAAAAATTATAATAAACCCATAACTTTAAAGAAATAAAATAGGATTAGCGAACCCGAAGGTTTAATATTGATACCACCAAACACTCCTATATTGTCTCTCTTTAGACATGTGTCAAAATCTAAGTCAGAAATGTCTTAACAGAATGCTCACACCTATGTCTCGGACACCATCAATACCTCGGAACTTTATCCACCAATTAAAGTATTTATATTTTTTAGCTATTTAAATTTTTCCAGTTAACTCATCCTTTGGATCTAAATATTCTACACATTATATTATTTTTGAATAGAAGTTTTATATGTTTTTTCTCCATTTTTTTTTAAACATTTTTTTGTGAATTGAGTTAGCATAAGAGAAGTGCTTTTATAGATTTTTTTTGACTTTCATAACATTTTTGTTCACAGTTTTGTATAACCTTAATAAAAGAGAACTGCTGCTCCAATTTCTGAACATTTATAAAATATGAACAATTAAAAAAATAATAATAATAAATATGAAATGCGTTACTAACTGCAAGGATTCTGAGGGCTGGTAGGAGGCGAGGCGTAGATAGGGCTGGGAGGCTGCGACTGCAGCGGGCTCAACACCTTAGATCTTCGCGAGCAATGCTCCAACTGCTGAGTGAATGTCAACTGACCCTAAAAAAATTAATAGATTAAAGGATCTGAAAATAATTACCAGCCTTCTCTACCTCTCTCTATATAAGGCTACTACTTTACAGTTATTTGCATGCAGCTTTGCAGTATCTGCTGTTGATTATATCTGTCTCAATTTATAAACGTAATATAAATTTAGACTAATATTTTCCACAATATACTAACTGACCTGAGTGTCCTTATGTGAGCTCCTGGTGCTGTTGGTAAGATTGCTGCTGTCGCTAGAAACAAGAGATCTCCTTTTTCCTGTCAGTTCTGGAGAGTCCTGGAGGGATGGAGCGCTTGGGCAGAGTATGCTTCCTAGAAACAAATTAGTAAAAATGTTTAAAGAATGTTGGCTTCAAAACATATGTAAACTCAGAAGAATTCCATCGTATTAACAAAATTGTGACAATGAATAGAAAAAAAAATTGAATGATAAAAACATGCTCTATATACAAGCATAATTTATGATATCTCAGGGTGTTCCACAAGTTTTTCCTTTTTTTTTTTAATGCGAAGAGAAAAGATTTTAAAGAAGATTTTGTTACCAACGAAACACACTTTCAAAGAGCTGTGAGAAGACTGAAATTGATGCCATAAATGGACAATAGATAAGTCTGCATGTTTACAAACACAGCCGGCTTGAGATCATGCAGAGTGTGACGTGGAAAAAACTTATAATAGAATATTTAATAAAAATAAGGAGAACAAGAGAAAACCTATAAATTTATATAATCAGAATATTGAACCTGACTGGACTAGATAAAACAGAACTCTTGAAAAATTTCCATTACCAACTCTTATATCTAGAAATCAACCAAATATTAACCTTACGTCACATATTAATAAGAAATACAATTGATAAAATTGGGAGCCATATTGCAGAGCTGAATTTTGGAAGATTATCAAACAGTAACATCATTAAAATAAACGAATAACACAATTTATGTTCTATTATTTTTACATTCCAAGGTTTTAATCATATCCACCTTCAATTACCTGTACAATGCATAAACTACTTATTACATGTATTACTTACAAAGATTTGTTCATTTTATTAGCCATAATTCAAAATATGAAATAATCTTAGTCACCATTGTGGACTGGTAGACTGGAAGGAGGGTGAAGACTGGAGGTGGCCTGCTCAAGAAGCCTCACGACCGCTTGATGACCTGACTTGGCTGCGACCCTCAGGGCATTGCGACCACACTGGTCACAATGATTAGGGTCGGCACCCACTGACAGTAACACGCGAACACACTCCTCATGTCCTTCTTGAGCAGCTATTCCTGTTTATAACGAGATGATGTAGAGGACATAAAATTAAAACAATATTATGCATCATAATTAATATCCAACCAATTTATTTAATTTTTCAAATGTTAAGTTAGAAGTTTTTTGTTTTTTTTTAAAATACTATTATTACTTTAATTTCATGATTGTTTTTTTTTTTTTAATTTATGTAAAGGCTATAATTTTCTGTAACGCAATTCTTTCAGTTAATAATTAAAAGTACTTTTTATTTTAAAAATAACACTTCATTAAAAAAATAAATTAATTTATCTCTTCCTCGGAAGGTCAACAGACCATATAATGGGTCTGATTTTCAGTTTAAATCCAAAAATATTTTTTTTTTATTATTATTTTTTAATTTTGATAAATAGACTTTTCTTCTTCTTCGTAATTTATCTCTTATTCTTATCTAATTTGCCTTATTTATTTTTAACAAGTGCTCAAATAACTTTCCATTTGAAAAAGGACTAGAAATTAATGTTTTTCTTATAACAATGCTCTCACTAACATAGAACATTATATAAATTACAAAGCTCATGGTTATAGACGAGATCAAGTGCTAAAACAACATTTGTTAGTTTCTGGATAAGTTTACGTCAATAACGTATATAATAGAAACCATTATTCGGCAAAATCCTTCAAACATTTATTTTAAAAAGTTTTATTTGTAAATTTTCGATAAAAATATTTGTTATAAGACATTTACTTACCCAATGCTGTAGCTCCTTGGTTACAAGTATCGTCAGCCCTCGCTCCGGCATCCAAAAGAAGCCGCACAACCTGGGCGTGACCTTGCCACGCTGCAGAGTGGAGTGGCGTCCGCCTCTCGTTGTCGACTGCGTTAGGGTCCGCCCTCCCGTGGCCAAGGAGTACCGACACCATATCACTGTGGCCTTGCCAGGCGCTCACGTGCAAGGCGGTCCTACCTTCCAAATCCCTGACTTCGACGTCGGCACCTCCAGGATCAATAAGAAATTCTGCCATCTGCATTCTATTTTCTAGAGCTAGGATGTACAGCGTGCTTCTACCGTCAGCATCTTGGGCGTTCACGTCAGCTCCGTAGCTTAGTAATGCTCTTACAACGTTCTGATGTCCTTGGAGAGCAGCTAACCTGTTGAAGACACAACAATCAAGCTTAAGAAATAATTATTTACAATTGATCCATCTATCTTACTTTATTTTTTCATTCATTGCTGTTTCAATTGTCAAAAATAATAATAATAATAAATAATAATAATAAGCAAACCCAAAGGTTCAATACCGACACCACCAATCGCTGTCCACACACCTCCTTCCACCGGTCTCCCTCCAAACCCAGTCCCTTCAGATCGTCCTAAAGGCAATCTTCACCTTCGCTTTGGTCTACCTCTCAGATTTTTACCATTTGGCACAGAAAATATTAACATTTTAGAAATCCTTTCGCTGCTAAGTCCAACAATTTTACAATCTCATTTTATTCTCTGCGATGAAATTACCTCAATTATACTAACTGGTTACAATAACTGTCTGAATTCTCTGGTTAACTCATCCTTCTTCTGTCCGAATATTCTATGCAATACTTTATTTTCAAAAACCTTAAGAAATAGCTCATTCCTTGATGTAAGTGGCCACGTTTCGCATACATAAAGAAATGTAGGTAGGATAATGGTTTTATAGATTCTAATTTATAAGTTCTGGGAACAGGAAGTGCAAGCTAAGCAATTTTGTAAAAAATAAAATAATATTGTCCAAAAAATGGGCCAAAGCAAATTAGTCCGAATGTTTTAATACTAAAATGAGATTTTTTCTTTCCCCTTGAAATTTCTCTAAAGGGCTGAAATGGTGAATGAAAAAAAAAAAAATTACACAGATGAATCAATTGTGAATTTTTATTATTAGAAATTATAATTTTTGGTTTAAGTTTAACATAACAACAATTGAATATGTAGTAGCTATAATATCATGCTCGGGAGAAACATTGTTGGTACCGCTATTCTAGAATAACTAAACTAATGAATTTCTGTTAACAAAGATTTTAAGCTACCAAACCTCCGAGGCGTCTGAAAAGAAGATGGCCTCGAGGTCTCCTTTTGTAAATACATTTTTAGAGTGCTACCAGTGGGTAGTTTCTCAACAAGTGATTTCATGCTATTTTATTCCTTTGTTCACATTTACTGAATGTATTTTTACTTGTAATACAGTTGTAAATATCATCAATAAAAAAAAAAAAAAGAGCCACCAAGAATCCAATTATTGTATTTTGAGAAAAAGAATTTAACTTATCCATTCTAAGAGACAGAATGTGCTCGGGATAACTGTTTAACAAATATTAAACACATTGGTCGATTGTCAGTGAAGTTGCTGCCTATGAATACATTAACAGATGGAGTAATTGGGTGCTTTTCATACCTGAACGAAATTCAAGACTCTTTTCATAAAACATTAACAAATACAAATGCATCAGATAGAATTCATATACGAGAAGTCATAATGTGTAATAAATGGTAACCCGATTATTATACTAAGAGGTACAACAAAACCTACTCTAACCAGAATGGGAAGGTTGAGATTCATTCTGTGGATCCGTCACGAAATTTCAATCCACCCAGGCTGGATTCAAACCAACTTTGCTCGAACTCGAGAATGTAAATTTTATGCTTTAACAAGCTTGGCCATCACGACCTCTATAAATCTTTACCTGAGAGCAGTTGTCTTGTCGTGGGCCCTCTGGTCAACATCGGCTCCGTGTTCTTCCACCAGCTCCCTGACCAGCTGGCAATGTCCTTCCTGTGCAGCCAACATGATAGGAGCCCTTCCGTCGTTGTCGGTCAATGTAGGCCTCGCCCCAGCCAGACATAGCGCTCGCACGACTCCACAATGTCCCTCAAGAGCAGCGTAATGCAGAGCAGACCACCCACAATTGTCTCTGTGCTGTTCATCCATACCTATAATGGCAATGGTACATCCAGTATTCAAAATCAGCATTATCAACTTTTGAATATTTAATAAATCAAAATGCATTTACATAATATGTTATATAAATGAATCATAAAGCAATTTCAGTGTTTTTTATGAAATTTTTTTTCTCAATTTTATAAAAAAAAAAATTATTAAATAATTTACATGATTTATTTGGTCAGTGTTTAGGTCGTCAAATATAATAATATTTCGTTTCAGACAGTTTTGATGAAGAATAACAACCAAATTTAACAATATATTGGTTATTGCTACAGATAACACAATTCAAATTATTGTTTTGAAATACGATTCTTACCACAGGCCTAGTATATAACTGATACAATTACATTCCTTACCGCTTTCATTTCACAATATGTGAAATAAATTCACAAACACTATAAAGTCTTTTAACTATAACTTGTCTCATCTTGATCCATTAACTTACCAATATCACAGAAATTTCCTACTTTTTTAAATGTCTTTTCTTTTGAAACCTTGTTTGTTAAAAATTCATTACTGCTGGCAGCTAGAAAAACAGGAAGAAAAAATAATAGTTAAAACCACTCCATACCTCTTTCAATAAGCAAGTTGACAACAGCTTCACTTCCTTGCGCCGCAGCTACCAATAATACTGTTCTTCCTTCAGGATCTATAGCGTCAACAGAGGCTCCCCAGAAGAGAAACAAGGACACAACAGGAGCGTGACCCATCGATGCTGCTGCCCACAGCCCTGTTCTTCCGGCAGCGTCTGTGTGGTCTACATCTGCTTCAGCTTCGAGAAGAAGTTCGCACACATCTCTGAGGAATAAAAAAATTGAGCAATCAACATCACTACATATAGAGTAAATAAATTATTTTTTAAAGGAATTTAATGAAAATTTACAGTTAAAGGGCTTTGTTTTGGAATTAGAGGATCCTCCACTTCCAATAGATAATTTTTCAGACAAGTGTAGTGTTGAAAAGAACCAGATCCTGAATATGGCGGAAAACATTATTCAGGGGTCAGTGGAAATCTTGTTTTCAGATTATTTTTAAATTACTGTATATATTAGATTTTTAATAAGTTAGTTTTTATTAAGTTAGCCTATTGTTTATTTTAATATCAAAAATATTTTTTTCTTTTCTGCAGGTTATATATATATATATATATATTTTTTTTTTTGTTTTTGTTTCTCACATTACAACTTTATTCTTGAAAGGATTTTATTTTATTTTTAGTTGTTTGTTTACACATTATTATTCATTACTTATTTAAATTACTGTATATATTGATAGAATTTTTATTAAGTTAATTTTTTTGGCCAGATATATTTTTTTTAATTTATTCATCATTGTTAGTCTGAGGGGACTTTGTCCCAGAGTAAAGTTTCTTTTCTATTAATCCAGACCTTCACTTTATCTACTCAATGAACAGATACAATAAGAGATAAAAGATGAGGAGGGAAAGGAAGAATTTTATAATAACCAATAGAGGATCCTGTGTTCAATACTTTGTAAGGAAGTACTGCTTCAAGGCCAATGGTTGTGCAGAGCGGTGATTTGACCAATATCATGCTCAACTGAGAGGTTCTTCCTCTTATTTAATTAAGAGTAGCCACTTTATAGAGGATGGGTGTGCCACAGGATTCTGATCCCAGGGTCGATCCATAGCAACAGCAGAACAGTATAAATAATCACATATTACAATCGAAAAGACCTAGAAAAGACCTGAGCTAGGAGAAGCACAGTCCTTACTTACTCACTCAACTAATTCCCTCCCTTGGTTCGCAGCCTTGCAATTTTATTACGATACTCACTACATATTTTTCAACTTCATTAAAATTATGAGTATTAGTTTAACTACTTGGGTTCCACACTAGTAGCAAATCTTATAAATAACATCTGTAAATAATTTTTCTAAACAATAAATAAGTTACCTGTGGCCTTCGAAAGCTGCAACCAGAAGTGGAGTCATACCATCTTTGTCTTCATGATCCACATCGGCCCCTCTCTCCAAAAGAATGTTTACAACCTGGTCAACCAAGACACAATAGTTTTAATAATTTATATCTCTTGTAAGATGATTGAAGAATAACTGACACACACAGGAGCGTTTAATCTGAACAATAATAAAATATTTATCAAAGGGAAGAAAAAGTTTTTCATAAAGTTTTATGAGTAATTATCTTAAGGAATGACATGTTTAGCCGAAGTTATCAAAATCTTTCGGATAAGGTCTTTAGCCCAATTTTGAGGCTCAATAGTCCTCTACGAGACAGTGATTCCATAAATATTAAACAAACATACCTTTGTATATCCTTCACTGGCCGGGACACAGAGAGCAGCAACGCTAAGCGCAGTCCTTCCGTCACTGTCCTGGTGGTTGATGTCAGCGTGGTAATCTAACAGCTTCTCTACAATATCTGCGTGTCCCATGTAAGCGGCGGCAATGAGGGCTGTTCTACCCTCACAGTCAGTTCTATTTACCTGGGATACAAAATTTATTTTATGATAAAATCATTTTATCATTGATAAACTCGCTAAGACTCAAGAGGTGGAAGAATAAGAGAATAAGAGAGGCAGAACAAATAAATGAAGATAAAACAAAATAGATGATAAGCCGAAAATTCGACCCAAATAATATCTGCCTAGAAGGAAAATCATTTCTGAGAGTAATGACTGAATGAAATGAATAAGTGAATGACCAATGGTAAGAAATAGACCAGCGTTTTACTAGCACAAACAGAGCTTTTTTCTCACCTTTCAAAGGTATTGAAATCATGATAAATCTCAATTTAAGGGTGTACAAAATTATGATAAAAGCCAGTTATAATATATGGCTGTGAGACTTGGACACTAATCAGCACCCTAGAAAAAATCCTCTGCACGATAACTGGAGCGATCTGGGATCAGAGTACTAACACATGGAGAAGAAAGACCAATAAAGAATTGCTTACAGAAATTGGTCAATCAATATTCCATGATATGAAGGCGTGAAGGTTAAGATGGGTGGGGCAGGTAGTTCATAACACTTCCATCTGGAAGCCTCCACGTAACAATAATGCCTCAATAAAAGACAAAAGACAATGTGAAAGATCAAAAAGAAGATGGATAGATAGTATAGACAAAGATACAATAGAGCTGTGTGCAGATAACTGAAAAGAAATAGCCAAAAGCAGGCAGAGATGGAGCAGGAAATTTTTAATTCATAAAATTTACAACTGTATTAAAAAATAAAATAAAACCAGTAAATGTGAATCAAGAAAAATAAAGACATGAAAAGATTTTTAGAGAAACTACCCACTGATAACACTCTATAGAAGTTCTCTACATTAGGAGGTTCCAAAGCCATCTTTTCAGATTCCTTGAAAGGTTATCAGGGATTGAAGAGGAACCAAGGCTAGAAAAGAGAGGATAAGGACGGTTCTGAAGTTTATTATGGAAGGATTGGTAATCTGCATTGGGACAAATCGGAAACATATGGAACAATAAGGTTGTTATGGATGATTTTATTTTTGACAAAGTAGAAAGCATTGAGGATTTTACGAAGGATTTTGGATTGTACGGATTGGATACAAGATGAATTTGATGGTGAAGCTCCAAATCTCAACGCTGTAAGTCCAAATAGGCCTTATTATAATTATGTATATGTATTCTATAATTATTTGGAAGCTTAGAGTGTTTGTCTAATAAGTAATGAGGTAGCCAAAAATTTCATTTCTTGTCATATCAGTCTTGTTTATTCAGGTGTAGTCCTAGGTATCAGATATGTTCAACAGGGATAAGTGGAGTATTATTGAAGGATACTATAGGATAGGATAGATTTATTGGAACATTATATAGCATTTATTTTAATCCTTTAGTTTGACACTATTCTTTAAGATATGTGATTAAAGTGTTTGGGATGCGATTGTTGTGTCATTGTTAACTGATAGAACGCACGTGTCATTGGCATAAACCAAAGCAAACAAGCATTCTATGTAGATATAACCAAAATATGGTATAGCTCAAAGCCTTACTTAAAAAATGTATCAGCTGATAAGCATGTTTTAGTAAATTACATCATCTTCATTTATTTAGATTCCTTGATTAAGTAAATTACAATTAAATTCCATTAGGATCAAAGCCAACTAAGTATTTTTCATTGAATTAAAAACACTTGTATTTTAAAAAATCTGGTGCGCGCAACACACAACTTTCACTTACCACTCAACTTTGAATAGAAATTATTTTCTATGTTGGGCTATTATACAATTTTTAAATTGCATTTTTAACTGAGCTAAACCTAAAAAATTACAGCTAAAAAATAATAAATACTATTAAAATAACGAGTTCTATTTATTATATCACCGGATACTGTTGGAATATCACAAAGGGAAGATTCATCAAATTATTCACTAATTTAATTTTCTAAAAAGTTAGATGACAATATTTCAAAATAAACAGACGTTGTTACCTAATTATTTAAATATAATATCGGATTTAGAATTATTAAACTACAGTTAATGTATTTAAGGTTATAAACATATGTTTTATACATCCATGAAATGATTTTATATTTTACTTCTTCTTTCACACAAGTACAATGAAATAGTTTTTTTAACAATCTCATTGCCTGGATTAGGTGGATTTAAATTTTTTTTTAACTTAAAATATTTTAAAAATTTACATTTAGTTAGTAAATTTCATTTAATTTCCTTGAAAACATGTGATTTACGTTAAATAATATTAATTTTTAAAAATTATTAATTATAATTTTTTTGTCACTCTCTGTTACTTTCTACAACTTTCTATATTAGATATTGTTTTTTTCTGAAATTCTCCACTTTCAAATGATATGTTATACAAATACCTTCTGACCAATATTTCCGGAGATTTATTTTCGACCTAGATAGATAAGTACTGTGATTTTTTCTCCTTTATTAACTTATCAAATTCTTTCAAAAGTTATAGTTAGCATTTTTTCGTAGCTCTGAATAATTATTTTTTTTGTTAAATCGCAATGGTTCCATCAAAATGGGTACAAATTACTATAGGCTGTCTCTTTAGTAATGATATAATTTCCATTAATTTTCGTTTTCATTTTGAAAAAAATTGAAGGACCTTTCACACGATTTTAGATATATAATTCAATACCAATAAAATAGGTGATAAATATACAAATATAATAAGAAACATCAACAAAAATAAAAACCTCAAAAATGACTGCATAACTATTTATCACCTATGATATGTAGAACAGTCAACTAACTTCCTTCAATATCAATAAAATGATTAATTTTATAAAATATGGATTTAATTGCATATTATTGAAGTTTATAATTTTTTTTAACTTAAAAAATAACTTAAGAACTAATTGAAAAACAGTATTTTATTATATTTCCTCCTAAGAGAGATAATCATGTTTTTTTGAATCACACATTTAAAATTCGTAAACTGAAAACTCTATCTCAATTCTGTTAAAAAAAGTAAAGAAAAAAAGCCTCAGACTTAAAAAAATAAACCAACACTCAATTTTAAAAACAAACATTAACAGCGAAGAGTAAATTTGTTAAACCAACACTTGACATCTGTCCTCGGACACAGTTTTTATCACACTAAATGGCTGACCTGCCAGTCCGTGAAAATTTTCTTACTTGGATTATTAATATAATTATATTTTCCATACAACTACATACTGTAATTTTATATTTCTAGTAAACACAAATCGTTTAAATTATTTTAAACATTCATTATGAGTTTCTATTGCAATTAAAATGAGCTTTGACTGGTAAAATTTAAAATTTTTTAATTAGAATCCTAATAGATGTGAAACAAAAAGATATCTAATCTGTTATGTACAATAAAAAAAATAACATTAATTTTTTAGAGAAACCTACTCCAAGTCTGATTAAATTTTTATTTTGGGCTATTTTGAACAATTAATTCATTTATTATGTTTTAATTTGGATTGTTTACTTATTTAGTTGATCATTTATTTAGTACAAAATACGAATCATTAGTATCGTGTATAATCTTTTGTTTTTGTAAATAGTGATGATGTAAATAATAACATAGGTAATTTAGTTTCTAGATTCGTTAGTTTGAATGCATATGGTTTTATTTAATAATTGCAAAAATGTATCAGAAAACTTTATGATTTTTCATGTTTTTGTTATTATAATTGTGAATAGTAATAAAAGTGAAAACTATAATTCAGAAGAATTTAGTCAGGGTTGTGGTCAATATATAAATACTATTATATGATATATTGGTTTATAGGATAAGGTAGGAATTTTAGGACGATAAATGGCAGAATTATTACGCCCATAGTATTTTATATATTGACTGCACCGCTGACTAACTTCTTCTGAAATTACAACCTACAGTCAACCATCTTCACAACAATATATAATTTAATTCAAAAAAGTATGTTTTTATTTCAGCCCTCAGAATAACTCCTGATGTTAGACCAGAAACCAAGACGATAAAGTTAACGTGATAATTTACTAACATCAGCTTTGGCTTCAAGTAGTAGTGAAACAATGTCCGCGTGGCCGCCCCACGCAGCAGCCCTCAGTGCCGTCCTCTGGTCCCTATCACAGCTGTCGACCGTCGCTCCGGCCGCTAATACCAACTCCACCACCTATAGCAGAAAATAAAAAAAAAGAGAATTAAATAATATAATTTAAAAAAACAAAACATGAAGGTTAATACGCTTGAAATGTTGCTTAACAATTTATGAGTTATTTCCTATTTATTGGTAAATTTTATTTTATTTAGTTAACATTTTTTTAAGCCTCACACTCAGGGTATTGTCAGGAATAGTTTCGGATAAGAGGTTGTGAAATAGATGGTTAGGGTAAACGAGAAGTTTAGAATTAAAAGAAGAATCTTTTTCGGGCAAGCCTGCAGCAAATGAAAAATTGAAAGCTTCATGTATAATTTTATTTGTGACGTAATAAGAAGCATTAATGATTTTGGACTAAAGGGATTGGATATGAGAAGAGTCCAGTTTTCGTAGTATATTGGAAGTGTAGAGAGTTTGTCAAATAAGTGTAGTAGTAATCGAAATCTGTGAGCAGTTTCTTGTTGCTTCAGTCTCATATAAGTACTTCCAGTAAGGCGCTTGTCAAGACGGAGTCCTAGGCCATGGATCTGAATATCGTTAAAGGATACTGTAGTACAAGATGTAATAGGTTTATGACAAGAGGATAAATGTAATTTGTTGGGATTTATTTTAATTCTTCAATGGATACAGGAATTCAGATGCAAGAGATGGTTCTTTACTGACAGATAGCATGCATGTGTCATCAGTGTAGGTAGTATAGATAATGGTAGCATAGGTTGGAATATTAGTTCTATAAACCATGAGGAAGGATGGGACCTAAAATGTATCCTTAAGAAACACCACGTCTGCCTCACTAAGAAACACCTGCAGGCTGGAAAAATGGAGATAGATACAAAAAATTATGATTCACATTTTTTTTTATTTATTTTTTATGGGTCCTCCCCTTCCTCGCCTTTGAGACTATATGGGGTTTTCCTGGGCCAGGGATTTAAAAGACTCCCCCGGCATCGGGACACAAACTCGTGACTATTTTTATCCAGTTATCAATTGTCAGGTTGCTAGGCAACGGCGGTGCTGTGCACACTCAGCCCGTTTGGCCACCCCTTAAATTATGATTCACTTAAAGGCTATTCCTGTTAGGTAGGAACGGACTAAAAATTAAAAATAAATTGATTCACCTGAGTATGACCACCCCATGCTGCGGCCCTCAGAGCAGTCCACCCATCACAGTCAGCGTGGTCCACGTCAGCGCCCGCCTCGAGCAACACTTTCACGATCGGTGCCAATCCTAATCTCGCAGCAAGGTTAAGCGGGGTCTGTCCGTGGCGATCAGTCTGCTCGAGAGCTGACTTATCTTGGCTAAGAGCAGCTTCCAATTTGACAGGATCTCCCTCGGCGGCCAGCCAATGGAGGTTCACTTCCGCTGGTGAGTCTTCTACGACAACTTCAGCGGCAACTTCTTCCTCAGCGAGTCGCTCTTCACATCCACCCTGAGAAAATGGTATATTAGTCAAATAATACGAGGAACACTTGTCCTTAATATTAAGTTGAAGGCCACTGATAAAGATAGAGTAATATAAGTTGTTAATAGCTAAGAAATGATATCTCATAACAGTGAAAAAAAAAGAAAAATCAGATTTCATGTTTTGGCATCATTAATATCACAAAAACTACAATTCATCAACTGTTGAAACATATTTAAAGATGAGGCCTATGTGTATGAAAATGGAAATTCGTGTAATCAACTTATATAGAAACAACTTGATTATCACTAACATAGAACACTTCAGAACTGAAAAAATTGTTGTATTTTGATATCGGTAAGCTTCTGAACTTAATAATCATCTTATCGATGACAATACATATCCATAGGTTGTCTCTTTGAAAATCAATTATATCATAAGTGACCTATTGACTAAAAATAAATTTCTACTTGAAACAAACGAGTCATCTCTAATCTCTGTCGATTACAGATGGATTCCATCAATGGAATAAGAGTTTAGTTTATAAATCTCCATAGAGACATGAGAAATACAAATAAATGAAAATTAGAAATACCAAGGATTTTTTATTGTTTTTTTACCATACGGTAAAGTACTATTTTTGCAGATATCATGCCTTATATCTACTTCTTAGTCATGAAAAATCTAAATAAAAAACTTATGATTATAATACTTCATATACTTGGGAGTATGAAGAGTAAAATTAGTCTAAAGCTAATACTTCAATTCTAAACATAATTATAACTATTCACTGAATCAAAGAAATACCAAAAAAAACAAATTATACTCTGAACGAACCTGGTTGCAGGCCGCTTCTATGTCCCTGATGTACTCGGACGCTACGGTATGACTAGAATCACAAAGGTCGAGGGGAGCCCCAGAGGCCAGTAGCCAGAGGGGGGCGAGTGGTCCAAGGACATTCTGTGGCAGGCAACTAATATGATATGAAAGTCGTTCAGTGTCCAATGGCGACAGCGTCGGGCCTCTAAAATAGCAAATAATAGACAATTAATTATAATCATTAAATTAATTTAAAATTTAATTTTTCAAAATTGATTTAGTTAATAATATTTATATATATATATATATATATATATATATATATATATATATATATATATATATATATATATATATATATATAAGAGAGGGGATCCAATAGTAATGGGAATTAGACTGCAGTGGGAGGGACCCATTGTTCGACCCAGTGTGCATTAAGTTACTTTACTGGGAGAAGTTGTGTCACTGTGAGTGCATCGGTTTGCCCTTGAGAATTTGTTTAGTGAAATAACTTTTTCCATTTCGCCGAAAACATTATGGCCCATTGTCGAGAGCAACGTGCGACTGTGAAATTTTGTTTTCTGTTGGGGAAATCGGCAGTAGAAACTACTGTAATGCTTAAAACTGCTTATGGGAATGCTTCCTTAAGTAAAACTAGAGTCTACGAGTGGTTTTCACATTTTAAAAATAGAGAAATATCAATTGAAGACCAACCCTGTGCAGAATGCCCCTTGACATCAAGAAGTGATGAAAACGTCGACAAAATCAATACTCTTATTCGTGAAGAATATCGCCGAACCATCGATCAACTCTGTTAGATTTCTGGAGTATCATGGAGTTCAATCCGGAGAATTTTATACGAAGATTTTCAGCCAAATTTGTCCCTTTCCGTAAAGTAGTTTTTGATCAAAAACGGCATGACACCGATTGTCCACCCCCTACTCACCGGATCTAGACCCCTGTGATTTCTTTTTGTTCCTTAGACTCAAAAGGCACACAAGAGGAAAGTGTTTAGCCACTGTGGAAGAGGTAAAACAAAAATCCGTGGAAGGCATAAAGAACATACCGATAAGTGAATTTAAAAAAATGTTTTGAACAATGGAAGGATCGTTTGGAGAGGTGCGTTATGGTAAAGGGAGAATACTTTGAAGGCAATCAAAATGTGGTATAAAAATACTAAGAAATAAGAAAGAAGTTATGACGAAATTCCCATTTTTTTTGGTCCCACCTGGTATATATACTGCAAAACAAGATAGAACTTAACAAAACAATGTTTGAAATTAATGATGTCATTAGCTCATCACAGTACAAATACCAAAATAAATTTGACTAAAAAAAAATATATATATTGGATAAGAAACACAAGCAGATTCAGGAGGGAGTAAACTTTTGGGCTTTAGCACCCTAATAAACAATTTTATTTTTGTTTTAATAGGTTCATATTTGTTCTTTCAAAATTTTGTGTCTTGTATGCGTGAATCTTTAAAGTGCAGCATACAGGAGACCCTCACATGGTACACACCTTGAAGGCGGTATGAGGGCTTGCTCATACTCAGATGTGCTTTTAAGGGTTATATGTTTATTGAATATTTAATAGTTGACCGTTGCATTATAAAGGAAGAAGATAGTCCGGGCTTGCGGTCATAAATAGGCTAAATAGTGGTAAAACTATTTTATGACTATTTAAACTATTTTATAACTGCCACAATTCTCTATCTTTTTGTATCTTGTCCGTTCTAGCCCTGATGAAGACCTGCAAAGTCGGGTCGAAACGTCGGCTTTCAATAAAATAGTTTTACCACTATTTAGCCTATTTATGACCGCAACCCCGGACCATCTTCTTCCGTTATATGTTTATGCTATAACCATAACCTATCCATAGCAATATCTAAAATAGGTATCTCTGAAGAATAAACAGCCACCTTGCTGTGTCTAATGAAAAATATTTTTTCAGAAAACTTTTCAATAGTCGAAACATTCTGTGCAGTGAGTAGTTCGGTTTACTGAAACTGCATGTAAATTCAAAATTGGAAATTTTTACAAATATATATTAGACATAACAAACAGTGAAATGGAGCAAAAATGTTCCAACCAAACAGGTTAAAACCAATGACTTCACAAATAATGCTTATTTCAGCCATATTAAAGACGATGGTAGAATACCTCATTGAAAGATGCATGATGATCATCGCATGACCAGCCTGCGTGGAACAAAGATACCTCTGCGTACAGTGCTTCACGTCCACCAGCCACTCAGCGAAGGAGTTGTGGAACGGTCTGAGGGTGAAATCTGGCCCGACAACGAGCACTCTTTTGGCGACCTGCAGCCTCCTACGTAAATCCTCCTTCGACATGGCCTTTTCACAGGATACCATGACGTTCGACACTTCTTCTTCAGTCATACCGCGGTCTGATGCCAGGATAATATTCAACAGAGGTCTTACCTGAAATAATAAAAAAATGTCTATAATAATTAAATTGTTAATACATAATAAAGTATTCTAAATATATACTATTTAATAAAGATAGTCCATTTTTTCTTAAAATTGTTAACCCAGAAAAATAGGGTACCAATTTATACATATTTTTTTGAAAAGCAATATGTCTTGTTTTGTGATGGTTTTAAACTATTAAATACCTCAATCTGATCAATAGAAAGAAAGAAAAAATATTTTCAATCTGTTTAAAAAATTTCGTGGAGTAGGTATATTTAGTAATGTTTCAAAAGTCACATTGTTGTAAAAATCAAATTTGGCTGTTATTAAACATGCCACCAAAAAGGGAGTAGAATTAGAAAAAGTAAAATAAACTAAGAGATTACTTATCGTATGATATATACTATTATATAAAAGGACATGCATTTTTGTTTGTAACCTGCAACTATGAAAATTACCAAACAGACTTATATGTATATAGGCACAAAGAAAATAATTTTTTTTTTTTTTTTTGTATATTTTACTGACCGCAACCTAATTGTAATTTTCTATTGTTACATTTGAATATTGTTAAAAATGCCACTAAAATAAGAAAATATTAGTTATCGCACAAATAAAGTAAAAAGAAAATGAGAAAATAAACGAAGTCAAATTAAAAAAAAAAAATGTATTTATTATATTTATTTCTTTATTATTTATTATTCCTACCGGTTTTCCAAAATATTTTAGGATATTCAGTAAATTAGATGCTCTTTATCATGGCATTCATAATGGGTATCGAATAGGTTTAATGTATAATCAAAATTTACCATGGATAAAGATGTGGAGCACAGCTTAGTTATAAATAAATAATTCAATACAAACCTTAGCAAAGTGTTTAGTGGTTAGTAGACGCTGACAAAGCCAGAGATATAGACCGTTGAGAGTCCCGGGGATATCTCTGACTTCCCTGAGAACAATGCAGCCGTCGGAAACTCCATCGAGTACCCGTTCCAAATATAAAAAACATCCATTCGATTTGATATGAAGCTGATTAAGCGTTTCTGCTGTTCCCCTACACATCTGTCTTCTAAGGCATTCTTCATTCTCCAGCCGCAGCAGAATATATTGCTGCACGTCTCGGACCACCTATAAAATATTTATCAATGAAGCAATAAATCTAAATAAGTTTAATAACTGTATGTACCTACCTCATTCCAAAACTACTTTACTGCTTCGCTCTGTTAATTTCTGGAATTCCCTTCCTAACAAAATTCAGCATTCCCACTAAGAAATCCCATATCTATATTTAAAACTCTTCTATTCCAATTCCTTTCCCAAAAACAGTCAGATAACCAATAACCTTTTATGATGTAATTGCATATTATTCATCATTTAAATACTAAGACAATTTTAACTATCAGATTGAGCTTTCTTTTCTCTTTGAAGAAACATAGAGTTTACTTTAAAGAAGAATTTAATGTATCTTTTATTTTTTTCCCTACTAAAAGTGTATATTTATGTTTTATCACTGTACATAGTTTCAAGCGTTTTGTATATAGGTTTATTTGTTTTGTATATAATATATTTAACTAATGTTTTCTTTACTTTTTTCTGTTTCGTTTTATTTAGGCTAGAGGTAATATTTCAATTTTTTACTATTCTGCTATTCTAAAGAATAAAATTATTTTCTATTCTATGTGTATGAATATGTATTGTAAGGATATTTCTAGCTTTGAAGTAAATAAAATTATTTTTTTGACTAATCATACAACGTAGAAGAGATAGGGTGAGGATTTATGCTGAGCATGTTAAACTGTTGCCCACTTTAATAATCTCAAGTCTTCAGATACAAACATTTTTTTTGTGACAGACCCATCGAACAAATATTGACTTTTCCACTCTGGCAAGAATAGGATTATCAGTACCTCTTCAACTTTTGATTTTCTATATTGAGAACATTAATTCGTTTATTTTTTGTTCGTAGTAGTATTTTTGATAACACATTTATTATTGATTTACTTCTATTATTTTTAATTTCTAATTTTCGATTTATAGGAATCAAAAATAAGTTTTTGTATTCTGTATTGCCAAATGTTTATAAATTGATACTTTTTTTTTATAAGGAATATATAAATATTAAATTGTTGATATTAAAGACTTCAAGCCAATGTTAATCCTTTATATTAAGTTTAGCCAATATTTTTATTGATGTTTTGATATATTTTATATCTATTGGTACAATATGTACTATAAATGTATGATACTATACATACTTGCTGTAGTTACATCCCAACTCTTTTCAAAGATTAAAAATATTAAGGCCCGATATATCAAAATATTTTGCATGTAATGGCTAAGCTCAAAGCATAATCATTTTAACAAATTGATCTTGGCTAATGACTTTAAAGTGAACGACTTTAATATGAGAAATGCATTAATGCATTAAGACTTTTTTAACGACCTAGTAATACTATTATGATACAAAATTAAATCAATATAGTTAAAATTACTAAAAAATATACTTTATATAGTCTTATATTTTATATGCTTGAAGATAATATCATTACCTGGGACTTCCTGAGGTCATCTATACAAATCTTCTTGTAGGTGGAGAACGCCTTGGCTATCTGCTTGCTCTGCCTCCTTGCGGTAATGAAGAGGAGGAGCCAAGGAGGCAGTAAGTGGTGGTTGGCCACGAGGAGGTCGCCCACTGTCTTGGTCTGTTGGGTGGAGGCGGTCGCACTTCGCCCTGGGCTTGGCGGCGCACCGTAGCCTTCGTCCACGGAATCGACCAGGATGAAAAAGGTATGAGGTGGCGGAGGAGATATCTGACCCAAGGGCACAAGGACGGCACGACGGAAGCAGTCGTCGGGATCGGTTTGGAGAGCTTCAGGGGTCAGTGCTGACAGTATCTGTCAGGAAAGAAGAATAAAATTAGAAAGCATATCAATAATAGTAATTAATAAAATTAAATATAGCTAAACTGCTAAACTTTCAGCAAATAAATATAATTGGAAAAAAAATATGCTCAAGTTATTTAATGAGTAGATATGCTTGTAGTATGAAACCATCCAGCTAAGATGGTGATATTAATGATACAGGAGTGCATTACAGTATCAAGTTATAAATTAGAACTTCATTTTGATTTGAAATGTTCATGCGCAAAACTTCTTACCTCTTGTCTCAACATCTTTAGAATCCACTAAACCAAGAGCGTCAATTAAAACATTGACTGATGGGCCATTTGATGCTACAAGAATAATTCTCATCATTTATGTAATAATCCTGTTTGATAAGAAGTGTCTCAACAAATAGTAGAAATAGTTTGCAGAAATTCTTTTTCTCCTGGAATATGTATTGGCTCAGGGATCTGGTTGGATACCATGTACTTCTTTTTTTCGATTAATTTCCAGGTGAAGTTATTTTTTTTTTTGCTTTTTCTTTTAAAGCATAGAATACCTCTGTAACAACTTGCTGTGATCTTCCCACGATGCCTAAGTTATCTACTAATCTTAGAAGCTATAATAACCAGTTGAAGATTATGCCTGAGGTCTGGATATCAGAATCCCTAACAGCCTTTTCTATCGCAACTTGAACAATATATGTATACTTTGTATGCAATGTGCAATGGCATCCTCTTACGAGACACCTTTCATTGATTGGAAGCTTTCTAAATGATCTAGTATCTGCAAAACACATTAAATCTCTGTCACATTAAAATGGATCAAAACACATTAAATGGATAAAGTTTTTATCCAAAATGTCAATGTATTTAGTAAAACAGGAAAAAAAAAAAAAAATACAGCATAATTTATAACAGAGCAGTTGGATTAATAGAACCTATTTTAGCCTTCAAAAACATCTGAATAGCCGAGTGAAATATGACTCAGAGAGTTGGACAGTATCAAGAACCCTCGAAGCAGCCCTTCTCCGATTTGAATGTTGTATTCTAAGAAGAATATTCTGCTCAGTACTCAATGACAATCAGGAATTGCGAATGGGCACGAAGGATGAGTTGCAAGAGCTATATCGAGATGCTAATGTGAGAATAATAAGGATTGGCAGATTAAGATGGGCTGGGCACATTTACCAGATGCCTCCTGATTATGTATTGAAGAATTATTAGAAGAGCGAATTTACACAAGGTGGGTAGGCGAACCAAAACTTAGACGGGCTGATCGAGTGGAAGCAGATGTTCAATCTATACCTGGAGTTTCAGAGATTACTGATAGTGGAAGCTGTAGACAGCCTTGACTCTACATGAGTTGTACTGTCATGGAAGAATAAGCTGGTTTAATAAGGTTGCTAACAGCTAGAATAAATATAAGCGAACTCAAGAAGGTAGTAACTTGGAATATAGTTGAAATTATTGAGTTCAATATTCCAGCTAAGTAAAATGGTATAACGACATTTGTTAATTTTTGGAGGAGTCTACTTTAGAAAAGTGTAGTGTAACGGGCATAGAATATTATGAGGTTCTAAATCCGATTTCGCTAAAGTGTAACATACAGGCCACGATGGATTTTGCCACACGGAAAAAAAACATAAGACTCTTATTCAATCCTGATGCATGTAATAGCTGACTTACCTCTTGGTCCGTGGTGAGGCGTGTAGCTAGATCTGCCAAGTGCTGGGAATCCTTCGTGGTGAGCTGCTGCACCACGCTGAGGATGAACCCCGAGACGCTCTGGGACTGCCTGTCTCCGGCCTGACAGCAGTGGTGGGCTAGGAGGCGGCGGTTGAGACAACGCTGGGGGCGGCCGCTATGACCTGTTGTAGGCCGCACGATCTCATTGCAGATGGTCGTTTTACCTGTTCGCCGAACAAAGGAGGATTAGATTATGTCAATTAAGATACAGAAAACTTAAGGATAAAGTGTATGCAAAAAGCTAATAGATTCTTGAGATTTAGTGGCCAAAGATTAGAGCAGAGGAGTTACACAGCTAATAAATGAATGCATATATATAATTTAGGAGATACTGCTGGAGAAAATGTGAATAGTATTACGAGGTGCTAGCTACAACCAGATTCTTCGATATTGCAAAGTTAATTAGCCTTAGACCATAAATGCTAGACTCTTCACGCAGGCTGTCTTTCAATTGAGGGCTCGTAACAGGCTACCATCCAACATTGGCACGGAAGTAACCAGCTACCAGTTTTAGAATAGGATAGAATAAAAATATAAAATCAGGGTGTCTGGTTCAAAATTCTTAAGCAATAATAATATTCTTTATACAAAAAGTTGATATTTCTATCAGTATTTTAGGTATGAATCAATTGCTCTTTACAGCACTGGCGGATCCAGAATTTAATTTTTTGGGAGGGGGAGACTTCAGTCCGAAAGCTTTTTTTTAAATATATAAATATATATTATATATATATATATATATATATATATATATATATATATATATTTGTTTTTTTTCGGTTGTCTCTACAGACCTTGTAGATCTTTGGCCGCCTGAACCAGCCTTCTCCACCTCTGCCTATCTTGGGCTACTGCTTTCCAGTTTGCGGCATGAAGCTCAGACGTATCTTTGTTTATCCTATCTATCCATCTGGTTTTTGGCCTCCCACGTGGTCTCTTGCCTACTACTCTGGCATTCATTGTCTTGTAGGTCCTGATGGGTTACTAAGAGCTACATGCCCTGCCCATCTTAACCTCCTTGTCTTCATGTCATGAGATATTGACTGGGCTGTTTCTTTCAACAGTTCTTTATTGTCCCTTCTCCTCCATGTGTTAAGGTTCTGGTCGCATATAGGTCCTGTTATCCTACGTATAATTTTTCTTTCGAATCTCTCAATTCTGGGTGCCAGTTAGAGCCCAGGTTTCACAACAGTGCAGCAGAAGTGCCTTAATCACGGCGTTGTATACCCTTATTTTGAGATTTCTGGAGATTTTTCTGGATTTCAGTACCTTTGAGAAAGAAGAAAAATCTGTTTGCACTTATTATTCGCTGGTCTATATCTGTTAGTTGATCGTTTATTGAGGTTATTGTGGAGCCGAGGTATTTGAATCTGTCTACTTTCGGGAATGACTTAGAATCCACGCAGATCATGTTATTAGGGTGGATGTTTCGGCTTTTTATATATATATATATATATATATATATATATATATATATATATAATGATAATTAATTTGAAAAAAAAGAAAGAAATTAACTATCTATATGAAATGGTGTTTAAGTGGTTCTTGAAATCCTATTAAATGTAATTACACGAACAAAAATACATTAAGAGACAATTTCTCTATAAAACGAAAAGAGAATTCACCACTTTTGTAATGAATATTTTACTTAGATTCTGGAGAAGAACGGCGGTAAAATATTATACTTGAATAAACGGCGACAATAAAATTAATTAAATATTTTCGAGAGAATAGGAAGAAAAAAAAGAGATTTAAAGTTCATAGAGGAGAGGGAAAAAAAAATGTATTATCCGCTGGCAAGAGAGCTTTTTATAATCCCAACTTACAAAGAGATATTACCAAAATGGCGATTATGTGAAAGGAATTTCGTACTTTTGATTCTTTCCGTTCATCGTTAGGTATTTACTTATTGCTTTTTAAATATTATTTATATTTAAAAAAAAATATATATACATTAATAAAAACACTCCATTTTAATAATGATCTTAAAGTAAGCCAATTCTATTTGAATATGAAATTTTCGATCCTTTAATTCAGTTAGGAGGAGCTGTAGGAAGTGGCCTTTGTCCACCATTGGGTGACGTACACCGCTGCCAAACACGATACTATCAAACAACTTATACAAACATGCATTTATAAATGCTAATGAGATATATATTAAACTAATTATTTCTATTCATAGCTAAAAGGAATAAGATATCCAATGCTATGAGCTAAGAGATAGCTGAGTCTGACGTATCCAAGTTTACATTCTCGTCCCTTAGCTCCGTCCCCATCACTTTTCTTTAACGCTAAGTATGCTTTGTATGTTTTGACCGCAAGTATTTGAACAGCATAGTCTACTCTTGTTTTTGGAAAATAATTGAGCCGTTTATTTTGAAAGTGGCTTACCTCCATTTATCTTCGAATCGAGATATTTAAGGGTTTGCATTTCAATGAATTTAAAAATGTACGTATATGATACTAATGACTCATACTGCTTAAATGTATCTAATGGTGTTAAATTTATGGTTTATATTAAAATAGTAATTAAGTGAATAATATGTGTTTTCTTTTTAAGAATGGAGTTGGGCCACTTTAAAAATTAACAACCAGATTCATTATAAAATTTGAAGGTACCCAAGTTCATTCAACATAATTTAAGATGCTTCAAATTCATAAAACACAACACAATTTATTTTACATATCTTTAAAACACTTCGGAAACACAATTTATCCGATTCAAAACATTTTTCAATTACAGAACATACAAAATTAAAAACATTTTATTAACTAACAATTTACTATTCATCTACATTTTGCGCTTGTGAAAGGGATTTGAAGTAGCCATGATGTCCCGGTGGTATATATCGCAATAAGTCAATCATGTCCTTAAATTTTGTTGTTGTAATTTGTCTGATATTTTTATAGAGTGGTGTCAATACAATATTTTCGAATTTTCTTGGTCTACCCCGACGTGGTTATAAAGTCAGGATTTTAAAATTTTCATTCTCATTCATTGTTGTCTTATAGAAAATTTTATACGGTTCATTTCTGATAAAACTCATCCAAATTATTTGTAACCAGTTTACTGGTTCTCCATCAGAATTCTTTATCCTTTTAAAAATTACGTCTTCTAATAATTTTGTTGATACAAAATCTTTTTGTCTCATTTCATTTGCAATAAAATGATCGAATAAAATTTTCATTTCCAACATTATCAATGGTAAATATCTTGATGTAAGTACAAAATTAATGGAGTAAGGCAACTTTCAAACTACACGGTTCAGTTATTGAACTAATTCTGAAAACTTATGTGTCAAAAATTTATCGTATTTGCTCGGAATATAAGCAGGCTGAAATGTTTTACTGATATATAGTACGAAGTTGTACATGTAACCATGGTACCGGGCAAACAATTGAAAAACGGAGTTAGGCTACTTTCAAAATAAACGGCTCAATTATTTAAAAAGTTAATATTTTTGTTGTCAGTCAATGTGTGACCTAAAACAAATAACAATGTTGCAAAAGATTATTATATTATATAAGTGTTCCATCGAAGGTTGACTTTTCAACCAGGGCTAGTCTCCAGAGGTCGCGGTCAAAACGATCTCCTTCCAGAAGACTTCGGTAAGCCATCTCCTCTTCCTCTTCACGTATCCACGTTCTCTTGAGTCATCCTGAAGACTGGCAATCAACTACTAGTTTCGGCCATCTATCTACATTCGTCTTAGATGGCCGTACCACATCAACTTTCGCCGTCCCCACAAAGGAGCTTCTACCACTCCTTTCTCAAACAACCAGATTTCTTATCCTAATTATCCTTATCACACATTTTGACGGAGTTTTGAATATTGGAAGGAAGGAAACTTTGATGAGTTTATGAATTTTCGGAATGAAAGGTTCAAACCAGGGAATAATAATAATAAAAGGCTTAGCGAACCCGACACCACCAATCGCTTATTACACACCTCCCTCCACCGTTCGCCGTCCAAACTTAGTCCCTTCAGATCAGCTTTAATGCAATCTTCCCATCTTCGTTTCGGTCTACCCCTCGGAAGTTTACAATTCGGTACAGCAAATATTAACCTTTTAGGAATTCTCTCGTTACTAAGCCCAATAATTTTACAAGCCTATTTGATTCGCCGCGATGAAATTACCTCAATTATATTACTCGGATACAGTTCACGCAGTTCGGCGTTGTGTAACCGTTAGAACTCTCCGGTTAGCTCATCCTTCTTCAGTCCGAATATTATACGCAATACTTTATTTTCAAAAACCTTAAGACGCTGCTCATCCCTTAATGTAAGCGGTCAAGTTTGCCATCCATAAAGAACTGCAGGTAAGATAATGGTTTTATAGATTCTAATTTTCAAGTTCCGGGACAAGAGGCGCTAGCTAAGTAGTTTTGTCACAGAAAAATAACAAGCATTTCCCACCTTCAATCTAACCTTAATCTCTTCTTCAATTTCGTTTTTCTACTTTCGCTTGGACTGTTTTTGAGAAGAGGAGAGCAATGAAAAAAAAAAAGATACTTAGATTTCCTTACCTGATCCGGGGCCGCCAACTATGAGAGCTCCTCCAGTCTTCCGCTGGTCGACCAGGTGAGCCAACTTTACGAAGACCCACTCTCTGCAAAAGAACCTCTTCCTCTCCATCCTCGTGTCTTCTTCTAGAGGAATTGTCTAACAGTCTGACCAACTGTCTCGCCAATGTTCATCATCGCCTCGGGCGGTTCTGCCCCTCCCGTTCTGAAACACGTACAAAAGAATCAGTAATAAGCTGTCCAAAGTTGAAAAAAGCTTTCCAAGAGGGTAAAAATAAATTATATATATATATATATATATATATATATATATATATATATATATATATATATATATATGTATATATACACACACACATACACATGGATTCTTAGAAGAATCCTTGGGCCCAAGATAACACCAGAAGGATACAGACTGAAATATAATAAGGAGATTTACAGTGAAACCTCTGATTTGGAAACGGAAATAAGGGTAAGAAGACTTAGGTTTTATGGACACATGCAAAAGATGAACGAGGAGAGGTTAAACAAGAAAATTTTCAGATGCAAATTTAACCATGGATATACGGTACAAATAAAACAGGAAATACAGAGGCTTGGGATAACACGGGAATTATATGAGGATAGGACAGAGAATACAAGAAATTCCTGAAAAGTGCGGTGCATCTGGTGGACAGTAAGGAACTTCCGTCCAGGAGGAAGTGGACAGAGGAAAGGAAGACATTTAAAAAGAAACCAGTATCATAGTCGCGTAGTCCTTTAGGGCTGTTTCGGACCAAATAAATAAAATATATACACAATAACAACAATGAACAAAATCAAAAGCTTTTCAGGGATACTTGCTTATTTTTCGCATGCGAAGGATTTTACGATCTTCAAAATTATGGTCCAATCATTGGATTTGATGGAGTGTATAAAAAAAAAGGATTTAAAGAAACAATATATAAAGATTTCTATCCCACACTCATAATATTATTAAGACACTTTCAGTAAAACACGCACACATTAAAACACGGAGTTTTTCACATTATAATACTACAAATATGGACTAGTTCCGAGATTATAAACATATTACTATACACTATATACTGACTTGACATTCCTCTGGACTTGATACAAACTTATACATGGTGCAGTAGTTCCGAACGGACTACTTCTTCAACCGAGATCTTATAAAAAATTCTAAATCACTTTATAAGACTATACACTTTAATAAACCTAATCAGATACGTCATACGATGTTAGTTGAAACAATAATGCTACAAGGAGTGAATGGTTCATGAACGACTCTAGTACTGCGATAAAAGCTCCTTTGAATGTTCGAAAGTCACCCGAAGTGAATGTTAAATGTTAACTTGGACTAATTGGGAAAGTTAAATGAAGATAATCTTTTCTTCGTGAGTTAAAAATAACGAACAAGCTTGAAAAGTCAAATGGATTAATGTACCATACTTAGTATAACCACAGACTTTTCATTTTGATTGGACGTGGGACAAAAATATATATATATATAAAATATGGCGGTAGTTCATATTATGAGTAAAAATAAATTTATATACATTTTTGGACAATTGTATGCTGTTGTTTTTTATGTTTAAATCGATATTGTATAGATTAAACATGAAAGGAAGGAGGACAGCTTCCTTAACATAGGTACATTTCTAGAACTTATTCAGATAAAAATGTTGAAAACTTTTTTTTTTTTTAAACTTGTTTATTGAGAAATATTACAATCTGTCTCAAAGGACATTTATAATAGTGTCAGAGATCACATTCACACTTTATCTACAATAAATAAAAATAAATTAAGCAGACAAATAATAGATAAGAACACATACATAACTATCTACATACGCTATTCACAATCAGACGAGGAAACTTCGAGCCAGACTTGTCCCTTCAACTGTGGTGGGAAAAGCATGACTCCTGGAACTCCATCCCTTCCCACATCCTTCAATCCAATACCCTTTCTATCTTCAAATCCCAACTGTTCAATTATTTCTTATCCACCAAATCCCATAAAATGATAAATAGATACTACTGTAAATATGTATATAAATTATTAGATCGTTCTTTATTATTAAATGATCAAAATTAGAAAGTAACTTATATTTTTTGTATTATGACTATTTAATTATTCTGTATTTTTGTTTATGTATCTCGGAGGCTCCTTAGCTCACATTTCTGTCTTTCTGTATTATTCTAAAGGGACTCGTCTCAGAATAAATAATGTATTATTATTATTATTATACCTATATACTGGTAAATGGTAGGTAATGTTTTATAAGTACAGTAAACTTTAATCATAAACGATGATTCTTCGTGGAAAGGTTAGGAAGAGATACCCTAATGTATACTAGGTCAGGACAATTGGACTAGGGTGAAGATTTTGAAACCATACGACTGGAGCTGAGTGTGAACGGATTGCGTAATGTGTCGGCTAAGTAATGATAATTCCATTACACCGGACCATTCGATACGAACTGCCTCGGGTTCGAATCCAGGTCACACACGAAAACAACGAGATAATTGATGCAGTCGGGAGGCGATCCTTAATTCATTACTTAATTAATGTCTCCGAAATTGATTGAGTGCGTTTATTAAATCCTTCACATAGGTATAATTAGATACCGATATAATTTGAATCATTACGTAAATAGGTCAAGAAAAACAGCTGTGTTTCTCAATCGATTTTCTTTTTTTTTGTTAAGTAACTATTGACGAGCTTTTGTGTTATCAATAATTTTTTTTTTGGAAACAGTGAATATAAATTAAATTTTAGTTTGTTCAAAACCGCTGACCTCCGAAAATGCATCGATTGCTTTGAAATTTTGATACATTGCCATCAAATTTAGGAGTGTTTTATATACATTTCATTACCATCCGGCTTCTCGTTTCGAAACGTGTGTCGCTATAGACTGTAGCGCCAAAAAGGCTGTAACGATTTTAATAAAACTTGGTCAAAGTCCTTGAAGCCCTTTTAATTATGTATTACATCTAAGTAACACACTTTCCCGAAAAGGGGCTGACAAATAAAGAAACGATGGATTCAGATTTTTAATTTCGAAAAACTAAATAAGTATACAAATGATACTAAACTGTTTTGTCTTGTAAACACATATTAAAGTTCTGATATATACAACGAATGAATAAATGATATTAGAAAACAAAGGTTAAAATCATGCAGCATATATGATTTCTTCAAATTTTGAATTAGATTATGGTCGAATTAAAACCACTTGGCGAACATTTAAATAATTGAAAGATGCCTAAATTTAAATACATTTTAATACGAGGAACTTCTATTTAGTTTCAATAAAAACATTTATTTATCTTTCAATAATGTTAAAGTTTAAAGTACTTTACCAGAGGAATAAGTTTACAAATCAATAAATATGTAACACATATTTAATAGAAATTCCTGAGATCCGAAAAAACAACTTCTTCACTCCAAATATTTTTGAAATGAAAACTTTTTTAGGCGTGTTTTGAAGTTTTTTTTTGTGGAGATTTAATTAGATTGAGCCATCAGATCTCGGATGTGTAACGCTCGACTAAAGTCGGTTGAAGTCGACTAATTGAAGTGTTTTTTCATAAGGGTTAAAATATCTCAGAAATTAAAAATCGAATCTGCATATTGTCAGCTAGAGAAATAATCATTATTTCATCCTCTTGGTAATGAGCCATAATTCAAAATTGTAACTTAACATAATGTTTTAGAGAGAGATAGGGAAAAATAGTATCGAAAACCAAATGATAATGAGTTTTATTGAAGATATGGATTAAAATATCTCCGAAACTAAAAATCGGTACTGCATACTGTAAGCCACGAAATTGTACAAAAATTTCATCCTCTCTGTAATGGACTATTATTCGAAATTTTATCTTAACGCGACGCCGTGCTAGAGTGGCGAAAAGAAAAAATAGTTTCAAAAACCAAATAATAACACGTTTTATCGAAGATATGGATTAAAATTCTTCAAAAACTAAAAATCGGACTAGCATATTGTAAGCGAGGGAATCGTTCATCATTTCATCTTCTTTATAATGAACTATTATTTATAATTTATATTGCATATCACTAATCTCGTCTTGTTGATGTTTTCACTTAGAATTGGAAACACGATAGATCGAGTGGTCTAAAGCACACACCTTAGTTTTTTTTAACTTTTCGGCCCACGAATACCGATGACACGTGTATCTTATCAGTTAATAACGATACATCTATTGCATCCCAAACTCTTCAATCACACATCACAAGTTTTGAAAAATGGCGTCAAAACTGGAGGATTAAAATAAATCCCATCAAATTATCTTTACTTTTCGTCGTAAACCCATGACTTTCTGTCCTACAGTATCCTTCAACAATACCCCACTTATCCCTGTTGAACAAATCCGATACCTAGGACTCCACCTTGACAAACGACTCACTTGGAACCCCCATACCAGACTGAAACGACTAGAAACCGCCCGAAGTTTTCGACTATTGCAGCACTTACTAGACAAACGCTCTAAACTTCTAACCATTTACAAAAGACTCATATATATTACTATAATAAGGCCTATTTGGACTTACGGGATCGGGCTTTGGGGCTCTACTAAACCATAAAATTCCTCTCGTATCCAATCCTTACAATCCAAAACCTTTCGTAAAATCCTCAATGCGCCTTACTTTGTCACAAATAAAAATCATCCGTAAAAACCTTAATGTCCCATATCTTTCCGATTTAGCTCAATCCAGATATCTATCCTTCCATAATAAACTTCATAACCATCCGAACACTCTTGTTTCTAACCTTTTGCTTCCTCTTCTATTCCTGATAACCCTCCGAGGCGTCTGAAAAAAGATACCCTCGAGACCTTCTAATATAGAAATATAATTGGAGTGCTACTAATGGGTAGTTTCTCTTCATGTTGTACAATGCCATGTAAATTGTTTCATATTTACTTGTTGTATTTATCGTTTAATACAGTTGTAAATTTCAATAATAAAAATTAAAAACGTTAGCCGGTTCTACAATGTATCCGATAAAATTAATAGTAAAATTAAATCCAAAAATACTATAAATTACAAATTAAGATCCAATGAAAATACAATAGTAATTACCTAAA